TATGCCCGATGTCATCTTCCAGTTCATGGTAATAGCTTAACGTTAAACCCGTTGCAGTATGCTTGTTCGGCAGAATTGTGGAATGTTTAGCAACGTCAGGTAAGTGTGGCCATTGTAGACCTAAGCCGATGCATAACGGTTCGTTAATGTTAACTGCGGGGAGCCTATGTACTCGGTTTCCAATCCCCGGTACTTCCTTAGACGTACTGGTACGAAATAGACTCTCAAATTCTTCTCGCTGAACCACCTTCGTTAGCTCTCTGCGGCTGTTCTTAATCTCTGGCAGTTTGGATGTTCATATGTAACGTCATTCCAGACCGTCCTCTCACAAGTACTAGTAAATACTGTTTATACCATGGAATCCTTACCAACACATTCCACGGCGTCGTACACCCATTCCTTAAAGCAGAGCCGGATACCACGGTCATGGGTGTCGCCGGTTGGCAAAGGCTCTTCTCACTATCCGTGAACTGGTCTCGCCCTAACACCCCATCCAGCAGTAATCAAGCTCCCGGACGCTAGACTTCACAGTGGAATCACTCCTCTGTAGAAATAAAGACGTCTGCGATTCTCGAAGCTGTTTTAAAGTGGAGAAATTATTAAATTTGTTTGCAGTGTGCTGGGCAGAATCCAACACTGCTAGGTACGCACTGGGAATACTATCAAAGCTACTACCCCACTGTTTGTTTGTTGGTTTTCTACAACAACTAACCTCTCACTTGTGCTCTGGTTTCGGTTGCTATCTTCCAGCGTCGTCCAGTAAAGTGCAGAAAGAATAAAAGCATAAAGTGAAGAGGACCCAGAAATCAAAGTAGTAAGTGGAAATCACGAAGACGAAGGAAGAGTCTGAACTCAAACACGCCACTGGCCGCGGTGTCTAGCCACATCACTTAATGCTTCGAACCATGCGATAGGCGGATCACGTGGACCCCAACCCGGAAGTCTCACACGTCCTACTTGGCTAAGTCTATTGGTCAAGGCTCTCATACCTTTTTGCCATGTCATGGACTGACCACTTCGATCTACCTTCCAACCACTACCTGCTTCGAACAACAGCGTACACCGAGGAAGTTTATCGGTGGGCATGCACAACGCATGTCCCAGCCACCTTAACCTGGTCAGATTCACTACTTGATCTAGAGACTGGCCTCTGGTTCCCAACACCTTACGCCTAACCTGAGCACTGCCGATACGGCGTTTCCACCGTATTCGGAAAACGATACAGACAACAGTGCTGGAGCACTGGCAGTTTTCTACTCTTAAGAGCCATATCCTTGAGCCCTATATAGAACGTACCTAACAGCCGCATTGTACAGTGGACCCTCGACAGACAACCGGATGTCACGCCGAAGCCATAAATGGCTGAGGCCGGCAAAAGCCGAAGACGCCTTCTGTATGCGCGATGACACTTCATCCGATATCTGACCACCTGGTGGTAGACAGTAATCCAGTCTTCCGGATCGTTACCACACCTGACCTATTGGGACCTTATACGGTTCTCCACTCCAAGTTTTAGGGTATGGTTGCCGGTTATCTCCAATAGTGCAGTGGACCTTCGTAGCTACGGGGTAAATGCCCATTCCACTCATGCGCAAGCACGTAATAAAAAAACTGCCCAGGTGACAAAACCTACCTACTTCAGCTAGAGCTTCCCCTGCCAAGACAAGCGCTAGCCCAGTCCTGCCTCAGTATGGTCGGGGGTGGGTGTCTCAGGCTCCGAGATGGCTACTCGTCCTGGACGCCTCTCGAAATGCTCCCAAGTGACCGTGCGTCTAACACAGCCTCTGCTGGGGAAGCCCTATCGTGGCGGAGGTGTTCCCGCTAAAGTGAGAGGACGAAAGCGAATGCCTGACGCTCTCTACCGGGTTAGCTGGGTATTAGTCAGTCTAAGGGAGATGGTTAAACCCTGATTTCAAACCAACCACGGGTGGCGTATGAGGCGTACAACGGTATGCTCACCGGCATCTGTAGTGAAGAGGTGCACTGGGCACCCAGGATGTTTGGCCTCATCCCAAGGGTGAATGAACCGAGGAATTGGTCACCGGCTCCCAGTAGGTTACGGACCCCACGTTTCGTCCCGCTGCCTTGCGGGTCAAGCTTTGGATAGCTAACGGCTCCGGTTGCGGACCCCTAAGAATATCACCTGCTTTGGCAACCTGGCAGTATCGCGCCCACAAACTAATCATGGACTCGGACCATCTACCATTACATATATATATATATATATATATATATATATATATATATATATATATACTTTGAAGATGTAAAATGCATCCCAAACATTGCTACACCGTTTTATGGGCTACCTAAAAAGGCTTGCAACTTATCCGGACCTTCACTTAGAAGAACAATATCGTCTGCAAAGATCGAGCCTATCTCAAAAACCAATTCAGTTACAAAATTGAGAAGGGAAGGCGAAAGAGAGCAACCTTGACGAACACCACTTTCCGTGTTAAACGCCGGTGAAATGTAGTCGTAACCACGAACCCGGCTTCGGTTTACTCACAAGCACTGGAATAGAAATATATTTCTCTGACACACTCTTCAGTGGGAGGCAGTGCCAGAGAACTGTGCGGTCGGTTGAATCGAATGCCGCCTTCAGATTAGGAAAAATACGGATCGTAGGCCTACGGAAGATGTGCCTGTGGCCCAAGATATGTCGATGAGTAAAGATGTGGTCGAGACACAAACAAGACCTGGTCCGAAACCGGCTTGATTCTTACGCGTACACATCTCACAGGCGCTAAACAATTGGTGGAGAATAAGACCGATGAGCGGTTTAAACGCAATACTCATCAAGCTAATTCCACTGTGGTTTTCACTGGAGGATCCGCCGCCCTTCTTGTGAATCGACACAATCACCGATTCACACCATTCCCTGGGAGTCTGCTTCCTGTCCCAAATAATACAGAGGAGTTCTGTTAACTGCGAAACCAAAGCTTCGCCTCCATCCTTGAAAAAAGATGGGGGAAACGCATCCGGTCCGGCGGCTTGTACTTTTTCCAAGACTATCTTCCACATATTCTCCATTTCTGATGGAAGGGTCACATCCACCTGCATTGTTTCTCTGGCAGGTATATTTGGAAGGTCCACTGTATAAGTGGGCCAAGTGAATTACTCATTGAAGTGCTCCGCCCAACGATCCAGACAATGTCCTTGAGAGAATCAGTGGGCCGTCAGATTTATCGATTAACTCACTTACACCGGGCTTCTGTGGACCGTTGCCTCTAATCAAACGGTAAAGATTGCGCATATTATCAATAGAGGCAGCCTCTTCATTTTCCTACATTTTGCAGTCTACCACTACTCACAGTCATTCCCCATGCCCCTAGTCAGTTGGCGTCTCAGGGATTTATGCCCTTCATTGAATGCGGCATCTGAAGGGGCGGACCTGCGAGCATGGAACAGGTCAACTAATGTCGGAGATATTCATCGCTTGTGAGGGCTACTTGGAGCACAGTCCTGTGTCATCAAGCGCGGCATACAAGGCTTCCTTGATGTATTACCAGCGTTCACCTGGTTCTTGCACATCCGGCTGTGTCGACAGCTCCGTCTGCCCCACTGAAACGACAAGATACTATTTCGAGCGATCACCACAAGCCAGCGCGCGCAGTTCATACTTCTATACCATAACTAATGAATACTAACCAAATTGCTTTGCATTTATTGACCGATAGGACCATTACCACAATTTTTTCGTTTGTCGTGTTCTCCCGCACCTATCCTGATCGAGGCTCCTCATTCGTATCCGATGAACATGAGGGTTTCCTAAGTTGTCAAGGGCCGGCAACCAGTTGAACCACAATCAAGTAAATAGTCCGAACGATTCAATCGTACACTAGTGCATTGTCACTCTTGCCTGTCGCAGTGATTCGGAAATGGTTACTTTCATGCCATAGGTTTCCTTCCACATACCGCTACCAATCACATCTTGCGGCCCTCTTTTTAAGCATGATAGGCAATAGACGTCTAGTACGTTACTATCAAGCTGGCGAGCTGTCACGGGATGGTGCTGTTACGTTGCATCCCTCCAGTTTCAGAATTGGTTGACGAAGTCTACCAGATCGGACGAAATCACAGTAGTCACATCGTTGCCCCGTGAAAAGATGGTACTGCACCCACCATTCAGCCGGATGCATTCGAACAGCCACAGCCATCAGCGCTCTCACCAAATGCACCATGATTCAGAATCCACGAGTCATTATCAGACACCATACATCATTTACTCAGACAGTGGCACTACCCCGACTTTGGTCGAGTATCCAGCTGAGACCTTTCCATGGAAAACAATCCCCAGTTGACCTGCAACGAAGAACTCACTCACATAATCCAAGAAATTTGGAGGTCATGGCTTTAATCTCGGGGTGAACGTGGTTGGTATGCTCGCACTGTCACACGTTCACCCCACTTGTCCAACGCCTTGAATTTTCAATGAGAACAGTCACGCCCCAACTTAGAAAAATAGTCTTTGCTTCAAGCCTTCAACTAGAACCGTTCAACTCCTCTGTCGCCACACGAAGTTCCAAGTCTCGCGTGATCACAAGTGGGACAGGACCGCTGTCGACCACCACCGACATCGAAATCCCATACCCAGATGATGGAGGCTGGCATCGCCAACAGATCACAACGTATAAATGGGTTCACTCGAAAGGCAAAAATTATCTAAACAGCTTGCAAAGAGAAATATATAATACAGTTGCAGAAGAACCTGGCTAGTTTGCGTTCCAATTGAGCTTAGAACTGTGAAAAACATCATGAATTGATTGTAATTAAGCTACAGCTGTGCTCAGGGCTCGATAAATCCCGTACGAGTTTCCCTTGGGAATTATTTCGGGATAATTTACTGCAACCCTTAAATTTGGCAACGCGTCCACTTGTGACATGTAGATTCCCTGTAAATCTAGCCACTACTCGACTGTTATTCATGGAACCAAAGAGCACAGCGCTGTTGCATTGGAGAAGTCAACATCCTCAAGCCAAATTCCTGTATTGGGAGATTAGAAACCAACATTATCACGCATCAATTGTCGCTTCATCTTCTTCTTTGACTCCTTCTTCTTTACCGGTTGAGCCGCGCTAGCTGCAACTTTCGGAACGATGTCATCCTTTGTCGCCAGAATAACTTCGACGTGACACGGAGAGCACATGTAGGGATTGATACGGCCATGGGCACGATACGTTCGTCGTCTCATGGCTGGAGCTTCGTTAACCTGTACCACTCACCATATTAGTGCGAGATAACCAGTTACCTGAATATGCTTTACAAACAACCTGCTGGCTTCGCCACCCTTGATATCTTTATTGATACCATTGCTGAAGGCGTTATGCAAAAGCTGCAGAAGCATTTGTGCGGATTTCTTAGGCCAACGCCCCTGCGTGGTGCCCCAAACTTTTGCCTGCGCTTTCCGGCCGATTCCGCCATTGAACCGACGGAAAGGGACGATTTCTTTCTTTTCAATCACGTTCTTTAAAAAAGTCTGAGCTCTTTGGAGCGTCATGCCCTACAACATGAGCATTTCGAAATAAACTATACCTTAATCGCCCGAGCACACTCATGGGTGTTTTTGAAATGCGCACGAAGATAAGGGACTCGAGCCTTGCATGTGCGACTTTCGTCCTCATCCTTCGGCTCCCAAGAATATCGAACCATTCCCGGTCTATGCGAGATAACGTGAGCCAAGGGCGAAGCGCCGCAACGTGACCTTTGGTTACTAAAACGAAGCAGTAAAATTCAGATTCGTCCATCCATTCATCCTTCATAATAGGGACAGTGGGAACTATCGCGTAAGAGCCTCATCGCGATCCACTAGATGACACGAACTGAAGATTGAGCAGAACGCCGTAACCTCAAAAAAGATTGGTCCAGTTGCCCTTTGAATGCTTTGATGTTTACCTCTTCCGCTACATCAGCAGGCAAAGAATTCCAAAGGTTTGTGGCCCTCCGAGACAAGCGGTAGACTAACTGCTAATCAGTAGAATTCATCTTCAGCAGTGTCACTGAGAGCCCGTGTACGCGACACGGCCCACGGAGCGTGAAGTCCGCTTGCAAATATGGTCCCAGATCACCCCGAATTAGATGGACTCAGGTGGGGGCATCGCTCATCTGCAGAAGGCTTCGAGGAGCAAACCGGTCGCTTCAAGATCTTCGTTAAGGTTAACCCCATATAGTCTAGAGATGAGACGGACAGCAGACCTCTGCACTCTCCCTAGCTTGATTGACTCTGCAGCTGTTCATGGATAAGCGCCGCACCACCGTATTCGAGTCTATGGCGTATTATGGGGAGTATACAGCATGCGGAACGCACTACACCGCAGTTTCCTGAACGATCGACGAACTGGGCCAAGGGGGCGCCTAGTGGAAGCACACGCAACTTGCGCAACCTTTGGTTTTCTGAGAGGAAGACACCAAAAATCCTAGATCAAGCTCGCAAGCTGTTGTCCGGGGCAGGTTTCCAGAGGGCTAGTAACTCACTGGCAGATTATAGCGACCCGGACGCATGTGAATACATTTTGACAGATTTAGTGCCAGCACATATAGAGGACCAGCCCAAAGGCGCATTTAGGTCTTCCTGCAGAATTTGGTTATTTGCATCCGAAAGAAGTGCGTGCAGTTGTTTCAGAACATCTACATACAGTAGACCAAAGGTTGGTAAGACTGGGGGGAGGTCGTTCATGCCAATGAGAAACAATAAGTGTCCAATAACAGACCCCTGGGGAACGTGGCTGGTAGCTGAGTACCACCTGGAGATTGTTGTTGAGGCTTCGACGGCAGATCGCAGTCTCCTTAGGACATCTTCAATCCAGCTATTCCCAGTCATCAGAGCTTCCGAAAGAGATGGTCACGTGGAACCTTATCGAGTGATTTGCTGAAATCCGTAAAGGTGACGTTCATTGAACAGCCCGCGGACTTGGCCTCAGTCCAGCTCTCACGAGTGAACAGAATATTCGACAAGCAGGAGAGGGCTTTGCGAAAACTATGCCGTCGGAAGCTGAACAGGCTACGGCTTTCCTCGTGTTCATGCACCTGTTTGGCTGCGAGAAGCTCCGCGATCTTGCAGATGGCACCTGTTAGACTCGCAGGACGGTGACTGACAGCCACAGCTTTCTCACAGCCTTTTAATAGCGAAGCAATTATAGTGTCCCTCAAGTCATCCGGTAGTTGCCCTGCTTCCAGCGAGGTGTTAAAAGACCCGGTGATTTAGTCATGCAATGACGAAGGCGAGTTCATTTGACGCCAGAGGGTGGATTCCATCAGGGCCGGCTGCCTGGTGAGACTTTAGATCTTTCATCAACTCGAAAATAACAAGGATGATGGCAGGTTCCGAAACGGGTGATGCTGGCGAAAGGATTGATGCGGAATCTGCGAAGCACAATGCCGTGCCAGGACATCAGCCTTAGCCTCTTCCGAGTCATCGATGATCTCAGCCTGGGGCGGGGTTTGAAGTCCCGGTGCCGCTCTCGTACGAAGCTTGGAATACTCGAACACCAGTTTAGGTACATTAGCACATCCGGCTGCCAGCCTCTCCTCATGCCTGCCTCGCCTGATTGCCTTTACAGATGAACCATGATTCCTTATCTGTCGGAACACAATGTAGCCGTCTGCAGTCTCTCCATACCTTTGCCACGCCAGGTCTCTCTTGCTAGGCAAGTATCGAGGTTGTCTATCAAACTACAGAGGGCCATGCGCCTGAGAAGGCTGGTGGCGGGATGGAGCGGAGCGGTCAACTGGCCGAAGGATGGCCTCTCAGATACGACCCCAGCCTGTGTTCACGTCTTCAGAAAAGTCCTGCTCCCCTGCCACATTCCGCTCCACCCCTCTCATATCCTCTTAATTTATATTCCAAAATATTGGTCCTCGGTGTGGACTGGGCGATATTTAGACACCACGCCTTCAGTGCACCTACGAAAAGCGTGGTCTCTGGGATCTAAAGGAGGCGGGATATCAATCTCTGAAAGGTCGGACATCCGTGGAGGTAAAACAAGATTTAGAGTGGACCATCGCTAACCCTGGAAGCGATCCGGCATAGGCAAGTGTTGGTGCAACGCCAGGTCACACACCGAAGTGCGCAGACTTCGGATGGAATTGTCAGCCGTTGTAGCGAAGCAGGATGCGGCCGAATCAGAGGGTAGCACATCGAAGTCACTTGAGATGTGACAGTGACCGCCAGATGCTCAGTGCAATGAAAAATCCAGGATATTCGGTGGCTCTGCAACAGGTGTCCTGTAGAAAGGTCTCAAAACCACGGATCCACTATTGATTAACTTCACCTTGCGCCAGAGTGACTCGCCACACCGTTGTGGGTCCGCTTAACGACCGAGGAGATGAAAAGCTACGCCCTCTCTGAGGTTAATTATTATTCCGCCACCACCTCAGAGCCAAGATCGGTCAGAATGAAACATGTGTCACCCTTGTGGAGTGACCTCGGTGTCCAGAACCTCGCCATACAACCAAGACCCCGTCAGAGCTACAGCCGCTGGTCTTCGGGCTACAGCAAGCACTCTCGGCTCCTCACTTTCACCAACGGCTCCTAAGATTGCTCAGGATCGCGTCTGCCATCCGTGCATTCAGGACACATAGGCTGAGATTCATAATACAGTGTTTCCCGGACTGAAGCCGATGATAACATTTTTGTCAGCGGTGGCCACGTCAAACGCACTCTCCTCTTTGTTACCCGAGAATCTCTTATGTGCCGATTGTCCTCACAGTTTGCGTGACCTCCCCGAAGTCTAAACGAGCTTAAACAAATTTCTGCCCACCACCCCTTTCTAGGCCACACAGCAGTCGGGCAGTCTGCACTCTGAGTAGGAGTGATCGCCGTAAAACCCTATGAGCCTGCTGCAGAGAAGCAAGAACTACCTCCAGAGGTGGCGGGTCCCCAGGTTCGCGCATCTTTCTCTAAAGGAAAAGCCATTCTCACCTGTGTAGACCCAGCCAACGTCTCTTCGCCTACAAAAAAGTTTGCCATACATACTTCGTAACTACAGAAGACAGTGATGGAGAGGCTGAGGGGCCGGCAACCATGCCTCCCGAATTCCGACCACCAGCAAGCGCTGATCCCACGGAGGTAATTTCTTCTGACCAGTCTACGCCCATAACCAGGAATCTCTCTGACCAGGGAGTGCCTCTAACTCAGCTACCGACTGGGGAAGAACGGCATGTATGACAGCAACACTCTTTGTGAAGGAGTCCAGGAAACTCCGTTCCATGCATTAGCATCCATATTACAAACGACATTAATCATTCGTATGAACTATCTTTGCTGGAATTCCGATTGTTTGTTTTATTTCTTTAAATCTTTGTCACAAACCGGACTCCTACCGTTGCCTCGAGCGAGAGTCGCTCAGCTTGAATTTCGTTGTGACCGTATTTGGTAATCTTATCTTCTGTAGCTAACCTTTGCTGTAACCCAGCTGCAGTTGTTGATTTGTTGTCCAATTTGGAGCGAAAGAGCCCAGAAGGAACACTATTAAGGTTTGATTATTGTAAAATTAGGTAATTTGTTGTATATAGTACCGTAGCTATTTGGAATCGACTTTGTTTTGAATTGTGTCGAAATTGGTTGCTACGCGTCGCTCGAACGTTCCGGTGGCTGGACTTTACAGTACTCAATATCCTTGGCAATTGCTGAGGCATGAAATTACGCGGCAAATCGGCAAACCGTTCCGAATCAAAGTACAATACCCCGCAGGTGAACCAAAACCCTCTGCCCGTAGGTGTTGGTCATGTTTCTTGCTCAGGCTCTAGTATATCAGGTTGTTCTAGGGTTAGCTCGGTTTCCCGTAGAGCTAGAGCTGATCTGTTGTTAGCTGAGTTGAAGGAGAAGCAGGTTGCAGAACAATTGGAGTTAGATAAGCAACGTAAGCTGCTCCAGGTGAGGAATGAGACGGAAATGGCGAAACTGCGTTTGGCACTCGCTGAGGAAGAAGACCCAGTCAACAGAGATGAAGTCAACGGTGAAGTAATGGTCAGTGAACATCTTTCTCGTTACCTAGGTGATTTTCACGTGCAGAACGATGCACCACGAACAACAAGCTTGGTTCCAGTGGCGGAACCTGCAGTGAATTATCGTTTGGACTTACCCAGGGTGGAACTGGAGTCATTTGCGGGTTGCTCGTCAACGTACTGGGGGTTTGTGAAACAGTTCGAATATTACGTCGAGGGTAGAGTTCGAGACGATGGCCAGCGCCTACTTTATTTGATGCATTACTGCAAGGGATAAGCAAAGGACGCGATTGCCAAATGTGTTATGTTGCCTCCGACAATGGCATACAATAGGGCTAGGGAAATCCTAAAAGATCTGTATGGACAAGATCATGTAGTGGCTCGTTCACTGATTGACGGCTTACTGCAAGGTCTGAAGCCTCTGGTGGAAGATTCGGATGCCCTGACCAAATTGTCGTTAAAAATGCTGAACGGTGAAGTTGCCCTCACGCAGATGAATTGCATGTCAGACCTCAACTCATTGCAGACTATGGAACGTATCACTGGAGTGCTACCAAACTGTCTCCAGGATTTGTGGGCTAGGACCGTTGATGATATTTTGGAAAGAGGAGACGAGGTTCCAAGATCTGCAGCGCCTAGTGTCCCGTGAGGCACGGATTGCTCGAAGTAGGTTTGGCAAACTGGCTGCCAATAGCAAGGCTCAGGTG